CACCGCCCAACCCCATCCCCATCCCGTCGCCAAATAGCCAGCCGGCGTCGTGGGCCGGAGAGAGGTAGGGGAAGCGAAGGCCCGGGAAACGCGGCGGTCCGCCCCCCGCCGGCGCTGCCCCGCCGAACGGGATCGCCTCCTCCTCCTGCTGCAGGCGGCGAGCGAGGCGCTCGTCCTCGCGCAGCCGCTCGCGCGCCCGCTCCTGCTCAGCCAGCCGCTCCTGCCGGGCGAACGCGACGTCCCGCGGCGACTCGTCCTCGTCGTCAAGGTCGATGGCGCTTGAGGGTGGCGGCTCAGCCCTCCGGCGCTTCCTCTCTCTTCCTCCCCTGCGCCCCTCGCCGCGCCGCGACCGCGGGCTGGCCTCGCCGCAGAGGTCGATTGTCGTGCCCGGCCTCTCTCTCATGCGTGAAGTGTAGGCTGCACCGCAAAAAAGAATTCAACATGGCACAAATTTTTATCCCCTAAAACCCTGTGTGTCGGCGTACCGTCCTCCCATGCCTCCCTTGGGTTGTCTGTTTTCTTTCTTTCTTTGACCTGTGGCTAGCGCACCACACACCTCTCCTTAAAATCCCTGTGTGGTGGCGGCGTGCCGCGTCCTCCCATCCCTCCCTTGGGCTGTCTGTTTTCTTTCTTTCTTTCTTTGACCTGTGGTTCCCGATCCGTCCAGCTTGTTGGACTATGCCGACCTAAAACCACCAGTGCCAGCAACGACGTGCCGCGGCTCGCCGCTGCTGACCTCGAAGGCGTGCGGAGCGCGACTGTCGGTGTCGGGGGGCGGCCGTCATGTGGCGAGGAGGGAGGACGACAAGGGCGCGTCGTACGGGTCGCTCTTCATCGGGCAGTCGAGCGGACGGTAGCGTCGGTCAAAGTGAGGGCCGGTGAGCCCGGCGAGATTCGTTGCGAGATACCTGGGGACGCGCCGAAAAACCAGTTCGATGGAAGGGGGCTACTGGGGCGGCCAATTCACACCTCTGAAACGCGAAACGCGATCTGTCTCGCGTTCCTCAACGCTTGCGATTCAGCTGTCGCGCCGATGGATGGAGCACTTGGAGTGCGGTCATTAACCTCACGCCCAGGACCGGGGAGCTGAGAAGCGCACCCAGTTGGCCGGACGCTCGGCATCGGGTTGCGGGCAAGAGAGCCCTAGCCCCGGGGGTGCGCGTTCGCAGGGCCATAACACGTCTCCGAGGGTTAGCCCCGCGTACCAGGTTTCCCCTTAACTGCAGGACGCCCCCTCTACTCGGAGCTAGTGATACGAGAATACTCTCCGAGGGTTGGCCCGTGTACCAGCGCACTCTCCCCACCTATGTAGGGCCCGAACCCTCTGAGGAGACGGCTAACGCGTTCAATGACCTCCCTCTCGCGCGCCTCCAAGCGCAAGGACGCGCGCGACGCGGCGGAGCGCTCGATCAGCGTCGAGGCCGAGCTCATTGCGCTGCGGCGCAAGGCGGCCGCGTGGGGCGCGAGCGAGGACCAGGAGTCCATCACCGACTTTACCGGCCGGTGGGAGGCGCTCGCAAACTGGTTCCCTGCGGCGGTGGTGCACCGCGGTGTGCGCTACGCGTCGGTGGAGCACGCCTTCCAGGCGGCCAAGGCGGGCGCCGACGCCGACGCCGCGCGCGCGATCCGCGAGGCCAAGACGCCGCAGGCTGCGCATGCGCTCGGGCAGAAGGTTCCGCTGCCGCAGGACTGGGAGCGGCGCAAGCTGGGGCTGATGGAGGCGCTGCTGCGCGACAAGTTCGTGCGCGATGCGGCGCTGCGCGAGCGACTCCTCCGCACGGACCAGCAGAACCTAATCGCGACCAACAGCTGGGGCGAGACGTTCTGGGGCGTGAGCGGCGGCCGCGGCTCAAACGCGCTAGGCAAGGCGCTGATGAAGCCTCCGGGCGAGGCGAGGGAGGGGTCGGATGTGACCGCGTGGCTCTCCTCCTCGTTTTGACCTCGCGCGGCGCCAACGACCCCGCACGACGGCCCTCAGGCCTTCGAGGCGCGCAAGGGGCAGCCTTGCGGGCACACACCCGCTTCGCGGACCTCTATCCAAGGCGCCCAACCCGCCGCCCG